TTATAAAAAAATGGAAAGAATATGGCACCACAACAAACCTGCCAAGAGAGGGCCACCCACCAAAACTCACGGACCAGGCAAGGAGGGCATTAATCAGAGAGGCAACAAAGAGATCAAAGATAACCCTGAAGGAGCTGCAAAGCTCCACAGCGGAGATTGGAGTATCTGTCCGTAGGACCACTTTAAGCAGAGTGGCCAGAAAAAAGCCATTGCTTGAAGAAAAAAATAAGCAAACACGTTTGGTGTTCGCCAAAAGACAAGTGGGAGACTCCCCAAACATATGGAAGAAGGTACTCTGGTCAGATGAGACTAAAATTGAGCTTTTTGGCCATCAAGGAAAACGCTATGTCTGGCGCAAACCCAACACCTCTCATCACCACGAGAACACCATCCCCACAGTGAAGCATGGTGGTGGCAGCATCATGCTGTGGGGATGTTTTTCATTGGCAGGGACTGGGAAACTGGTCAGAATTGAAGGAATGATGGATGGCGCTAAATACAGGGAAATTCTTGAGGGAAACCTGTTTCAGTCTTCCAGAGATTTGAGACTGGGACGGAGGTTCACCTTCCAGCAGGACAATGACCCTAAGCATACTGCTAAAGAAACACTTGAGTGGTTTAAGGGGAACATTTAAATGTCTTGGAATGGCCTAGTCAAAGCCCAGACCTCAATCCAATTGATAATCTGTGGTATGACTTAAAGATTGCTGTACACCAGTGGAACCTATCCAACTTGAAGGAGCTGAAGCAGTTTTGCCTTGAAGAATGGGCAAAAATCCCAGTGGCTAGATGTGCCAAGTTTATAGAGACATACCCCAAGAGACTTGCAGCTGTAATTGCTGCAAAAGGTGGCTCTACAAAGTATTGACTTGGGGGGGTTTATAAGGCAACAAAATAGAAAAAATGCCAAGGGGGGGTGAATACTTTCGCAAGCCACTGTATGTGTTTAGGCTGAATCAATGTAACCGCACAGGAAGATGCTGTGATGCGTTGGCCTCAGCTCTCAACTCAAACTCCTCACACCTGAGAGAGCTTGACCTGAGTGACAATGACCTGCAGGATTCAGAGGTGAAGCTGCTCTCTTCTGGAAAGTTCACACTTTCGTGACAAATTGGATAAAAATCTATGGAAATTGCCATGCAAAATGTCAGAATTGCAGCAGCAAAATCAAAAAGAAATGCCCGCAACTGGAGGGATTGATTATAGTTTTATGTTGCATTAAAATGATTATTGTTATAATGTAAAGATAAACGAAAAATCCCTGACGTTTTCTCACTTGGGTGAGTCACTCCATATTGAACATGAGGGCAGTGACCAAATGTTTTATGACTATTGTGTGACAGTTTTAACTGTCAGGTTGTCATTGTGTAGAGTCTCAGAGGAAGGCTGTGCTTCTGTTGCATCAGCTCTGAGATCAAACCCCTCAGACCTGAGAGAGCAGGACTTAAACTACAATCAACCCAGAGACTCAGGAGTAAACCTGCTCTCTGCTGTACTGAAGGATCCACTCTGTAAACTGGAGAAACTCTGGTAAATAGTAAATATGTGGTGGGCTGAAATAATACATTTGTATTATACTGTTTACACTTTCCATACTGGTTGTGTATGTCCATTGTGTATGTCTGTTCTTCAGTTTTTTTCTACATTAGCGTGGGCCATGGTGGAAAGGGCAGGATCAAACCTGGGCTTATGAAATGTAAGTCATGACTGCTGTGGAGAGTTAGTATGTATTTTAAGACAAGAAGGAAATGCAGAGTATTAACAGAGGATCAATGCAACTACATTTCGGGCTGGAATTCTATCAAACCAGTCTTTGTTACAAACGATTGCACTTCTTATCCTGAAAACATATTCTAGTGAGATGAGTCTACCAGGTTGTAGCAAAGGGTTTTGACCCAAACCCATTTTATTTCACCATGGGAAAAAGGCTACTGCATAGATATTATGATGGGGCTCCAATTGAACTGAGCATGTGTTGATAAGTTTGTGATATTTATAAATTCTGATTTAGTTTTATGACATTGTGTTCTTGATTTTTCTATTAATTTTGTCTTCTCTTTCAGATGCCTGTGAGCTCACACTGGACCCAAACACAGCACATACAGTAAATACCTCTCTCTGTCTGAGGGAAACAGACGAGTGACACGGATGTGGATGCAGCAGCCCTATCCTGATCACCCAGAGAGATTTAAGGTCTGGCTACAGGAGCTGTGTAGACCGGGTCTGACTGGGCACTGTAAATGGGAGGCAAAGTGGATTGGGAGAGGGGCTTTTATAGGAGTGACATATCAAGGAATCAACAGGACAGGAGTTGATGAAGACCGTCTGCTTGGATACAATGACAAGTCCTGGAGTCTGAACTGAGATGATGACAGTTCCTTTGCCAGGCACAATAGGAAGAGTACTGCCATACATGTCCCCCACTCCCATTCCAAGAGAGTTGGAGTGTATCTGGACAGGCCAGCCGGCTAACTGTCCTCTGAAAAACTGACCCACCTGCACACATTCCACTTCACATTCACTGAGCCCCTCTACCAAGGGTTTTGGGTTGAATCTTCTCTGAAATTGTGCCATGCTTGGAATTAATTCAAATAAACTCAAATGTAACTGTATGACAGGATATGATTTCCACTATAATTGATCCTACTTACTGTCAGAAGAGGAGTGGTGCTGTTGGATGTACAGCTATTCCCTTTCCTCTATGTCAGGGGTAGGCAACCCTGGTCCTGGAGTGCAGCAGGCACTTCATGTTTTTGATTTAACTGACCTGGAAGACCAGGTGTGTTTAATTTAAGCAATCACTGAACTGATCAATTAGCGCAGTTGGTCAGGGCTGCGTTCAGTACATAAAAACAGAAAATAACATTCAATTGAACGGAAGCAGTGGTGTAAGGAATGACTAGTTGAAGGGGTTGGGTTGTGGGTTCAAATGCACCGCTGCCCTTTAAATACGTCACGCATGCTTCGAGCCACACCCGGCAAACCCACCGAATGGAGCAAATTCATTTGGGAAAATGTGTTGTTCAGTACAAACCATGCCGCAACATAGCAAACGTTCAAGCAAACTGAACGCACCCCCGGTGTGGTACCTCATTAGAACAAAATCCTGCAGTATCTGCGGCACTCCGGGAACAGGGTTGCCTACCCCTGCCCTATGTAGTCTGCTTTTACAAAATGTTATGCTGTTTCCAAATTAAACAAAATACCTTGCTCTTGTTAAAGCTTTTAGAATTGATTTGTTTGTCTGTGCTCATCTGCAAAAGAGACATTGATCTCAGCATGACTCTCTGTCAAAATAAAAGGTTGAATACTTTTTTTTCGTCAGTCTCATTTGAACCATTCATTTGAACCATTAGATGGCAGCGTCCTGTATGGAATATGACTCCAGCTTGGCTCTTTTTTAAAACATTAGTCCTGTTACTGTGTAACTCGCTCTGGATAAGAGCAGCAGCTAAATTACTTAAATATAAATTCAAATATACAATCATTTCTTTTTCAGAAAATAATTAAAGCTATAACACTCTACAAAATTAGAAATGCATTTAGAAATGGACCCATTCTTCACTGTTGTACATCAATAAATAAATTGTTATTTCAGAATCCAGGAGAAAAAAAGATACAAAAACTGGTACTTCATCTGTTTCCAATCCCCATGGAGGGAATAAGAGGGTAGAGGTCACTTGGTGCAGTCTCCCAGTCTGTGTAAACGCTGATGGTTTTTGACCTATTGTCGGTCCTATGTGTCCCCTCTAAGGCATATGGCTTGTTGTAACCATGCACACAGAAGCATGCCGTCATATCTCCCACCATGGAGATATACAGTACAGAAAGGGTTTTTGTTTATGTCTCTAACATTCGTCATTACGAGGTGTTCCAGCACTGTTTTGAATGTAGCATGCTAGCTCGTTTAGTCCAGTTTCAGCATGTGAAACCCCCTGACCAGTATGGATCCTCTTGGATCATCTTTAGATTAATAAGATTTGATTAGTTACCATTATTTAATTATCATGTTGTCTGATATTTGGGTGAATTCAAATAATGTAAATAAATACGAACTATCATGGTCCAAACACACCAAGACAGTTGTGAAGAGGGCACGACAAAGCCTATTCCCCCTCAGGAGACTGAAAAGATTTGGCATGGGTCCTCAGATCCTCAAAAAATTATACAGCTGCACCATCGAGAGCATCCTGACTGGTTGCATCACCGCCTGGTATGGCAACTGCTTGGCCTCCGACCGCAAGGCACTACAGAGGGTAGTGCGTACGGCCCAGTACATCACTGGGGCCAAGCTTCCTGCCATCCAGGACCTCTATACCAGGCGGTGTCAGAGGAAGGCCCTCAAAATTGTCAAAGACTCCAGCCACCCTAGTCATAGACTGTTCTCTCTGCTACCGCACGGCAAGCGGTACCGGAGTGCCAAGTCTAGGTCCAAAAGACTTCTCAACAGCTTCTACCCCCAAGCCATAAGACTCCTGAACAGCTAATCATGGCTACCCGGACTATTTGCACTGCCCCCCCACCCCATCCTTTTTACGCTGCTGCTACTCTGTTAATTATTTATGCATAGTCACTTTAACTCTACCCACATGTACATATTACCTCAACTACCTCAACTAGCCGGTGCCCCCGCACATTGACTCTGCAACGGTACCCCCCTGTATATATAGCCTCCCTACTGTTATTTTATTTTACTTCTGCTCTTTTTTTTCTCAACACTTTTTGTTGTTGTTGTTTTATTTTTACTTTTTTTGTTAAAAATAAATGCACTGTTGGTTAAGGGCTGTAAGTAAGCATTTCACTGTTATGTCTGCACCTGTTGTATTCGGCGCATGTGACCAATAAAATTTGATTTGATTTGATTTGATTTGAATTCAGTAATCGAACTTGCCTTTATTTGTGTGTTGTACATCAATCACAGTATGAATGTAAGAAAGTTGTGAGAAATAAAACCACAGCCTACCCTGTTTGTGCCTCTACAGTGGAGTGAGGAGTGAGAGCTAGTGTGATGTAGCAGACCTGGACCATGCGTCCTCCTCGATCCTCCACACTGAGAAGGCATAGCTCAGATGCTCGTGGGCCACATAACCACAGCTGGATGCTGCAGACCAGGCACCTCATCCAAATCCAGGTCCATTCCCGCACCCTGCAGCACGTGGTGGAGGAAGTCTAGAATCAGAATAATAAGAATCATCATCATCATTATTTATTTTGCACCGTTTATAATGACATTGCAGCCCAAACTTCTATACAAGATTGGCACCTCAAATTCTTTATATATTTATTATTATTATTTATTTTTATTTTACCCCCTTTTTATTCCCAATGTCGGAGGAAACACTGTTCAACTGACAACCGAGGTCAGCCTGCAGGCGCCCGGCCTGCCACAAGGAGTCTCTAGAGCGCGATGAGCCAAGTAAAGCTCTCCCGGCCAAACCCTCCCCTAACCCGGACGATGCTGGGCCAATTGTGCGCCGCCCTATGGGACTCCCGATCACGGCTGGTTGTGATACAGCCCGGGATCGAACCCGGGTCTGTAGTGACACATCTAGCACTACGATGCAGTGCCTTAGACCACTGCGCCACTCGGGAGGCCTAGCACCTCAAATTATAATGACATAAAAGCACTTTAAATTATAACCACTCAAATAAGCCATTAATTGATTGGTTAATTGGTTGATTCAATTATCATCATAACAGTAGGTAGCCTACCTATGTACCGCATGGCCAGTTTGAGCGTCTGGATCTTGCTGAGTTTGTCTGAGGGCAGTGTGGGGATGATCTGTCGTAGCGAGGCGAAGGCCTGGTTGGGTGACTGGGTCCTCTGGCGCTCCCGTACGTTGGGCATGACATGCTGAGTCTGTACATCCTCCAGAGACCTGGGTGGGCTGCTCACACTGCTGACATCACTCCCGTCATTTCTGTCACTTCCTCTCCTCCTCTTCCATCTCTTCTTCCCAGGGCTGGGGCTTTTCCGGTTCCTCACCTCCTCTTCCATCTCTTCTTCCCAGGGCTGGGGCTTTTCCGGTTCCTCTCCTCCTCTTCCATCTCTTCTTCCCAGGGCTGGGGGTTTTCCGGTTCCTCTCCTCCTCTTCCATCTCTTCTTCCCTGGGGAGGAGGAAAGTTTCCGTTATAAGAAAATAATCTTGCTCATAGTCCGTTATGCCTTCTGAGCCAAAAACACCAGAGCACCCAGAAATTGAGGAGGTGGGTGGGTGTGAGGAGGAGGGAAGCGTGAGGAAAGTTTCCGTTATAAGAAACTAATCTCGCTCATAGTCCGTTGGTTGGTAAGACTGATTTTAAAAAGACCATTCAAATTTGTTGGATTTCTTTAAGCAAATTAGTCAGGTTTAATTTGTCCAATTTGCCTTAATTCCTGTAAAGGTCATGAAAACAGTCATGGCCAATAGCTTAGTATAGTTATTCAGATAATAGATGTAGCCTCCCAGCTAGCACATAACGTTCTGAGAACCATATGTTTCTTAGAGCTTGGTGAGAGCGTGGATGACCTAGGGTTATTTTGCATACAACCTTTCCACAATGTTCTGGGAATGGTGCAGGATACCCAGCTAGCACATAAGGTTCTGAGAACCACGTTTCTTAGGTGGGAATTTCAGTACTTAAGCTTAACGTTTGCTACAGGTTTCCTCATGGTTCTATTTAAAGTCACGTTCTCAGAACATTCAGAGAACTTTAAGAAACAACTTTCTTCTGTGGGAATTTCAGTACTTCAGCATAACATTTTCTGCAGGTTTCCATTTAGTTCAAATCAAATCAAATTTTCTTTGTCACATACACGTGTTTAGCAAATGTCATTGCGGGTGTAGCGAAATGCTAGTTCTGTTTAAAGTCATGTTCTCAGAACATTAGGAAAACCTTATTAATTTTATTTAAAAACATACATTTCCTTCTCAGCGCCAACAAAACTCTCTCAATCCTTGTTATGTGTGTTCAGGTGTGTTGGCCACACCCACTAAGAGTCCCACCTAGTCTACAGATATTTAGGACACCTCATGAGCTGTCCTAACCAGTAAAGAGTTACCAGCAGGTGTCTTGAAAATAGAAAAATCCAGCAAGTCAGTGGTAGATGCGCCACATGAAATTGCTTTGGAGTTAAAATAATTGTTGATATTGATATATGATCAATCCATAATCTAGAACTACATGTATATCATGCGCTTTTGATAATGATTTAACATGAGGCCTATTTCACAATTAAATGCCTAAATACTTATAACCACTAGGCAAAAACATAAACACATTCTTCAATTATTTAATGACCTACATCATGTTATTTCAAGTTATCCATTTGGAGCTCAACATTACATTGTTAAAAAATATGTCTAAATTGGGCATGCCTATAAATTGGGCAACTGAAGGCATGTAGGGCTTATGTTACCTTGGATTGTGTAAAATGAAAATGATAGACCTTTCAAACATTGTATGCAACGTTGTATGCAAGATTATCAGCAAGTGACTTGATACAGTGAGGGAAAAAAGTATTTGATCCCCTGCTGATTTTGTACGTTTGCCCACTGACAAAGAAATGATCAGTCTATAATTTTAATGGTAGGTTTATTTCAACAGTGAGAGACAGAATAACAACAACAAAAATCCAGAAAAACACATGTCAAAAATGTTATAAATTGATTTGCATTTTAATGAGGGAAATAAGTATTTGACCCCCTCTCAATCAGAAAGATTTCTGGCTCCCAGGTGTCTTTTATACAGGTAACGAGCTGAGATTAGGAGCACACTCTTAAAGGGAGTGCTCCTTATCTTAGCTTGTTACCTGTATAAAAGACACCTGTCCACAGAAGCAATCAATCAATCAGATTCCAAACTCTCCACCATGGCCAAGACCAAAGAGCTCTCCAAGGATGTCAGGGACAAGATTGTAGACCTACACAAGGCTGGAATGGGCTACAAGACCATCGCCAAGTAGCTTGGTGAGAAGGTGACAACAATTGGTGCGATTATTCGCAAATGGAAGAAACACAAAATAACTGTCAATCTCCCTCGGCCTGGGAATCCATGCAAGATCTCACCTCGTGGAGTTGCAATGATCATGAGAACGGTGAGGAATCAGCCCAGAACTACACGGGAGGATCTTGTCAATGATCTCAAGGCAGCTGGGACCAGGGGCGGTGTGTTCATTAGGGCGATATGGGCGACGCACTGCCAAACGGGAAAAGGAAGGGATTTTTTTTCTAATCAATTATATTACGGCAACAGTAGTTATCAGTGTTCTAATCTAGACGTCTGATCTGCCACTAAATGTCCAATCAGGCTAAAGTCGTGCTTCAAATGGCCCCGCCCCTTTTGGGGCGATTTCAGTCAGGTTGAAAATCGCCCCAGAAGTCTCTCATAGACTCTCATGTAAAATCTTTTTTTTTCAAATATCAGAGCTTTCAATACAATCTCTATGGGTTCCGGGAGGGCTTGCACTTACGCGCTTTCGTCATACGTAACATAACCATGAACGTAACTAAGAAAAGAGCGGGTAGCAGCGTCAATCAATTCACGTACTACTGTCAAGATGGCTAGCGTTCAGTGCAACTCGATTGTCTCTTTGAAAGAAGTTCCTTTTTGTCGGCGAACAAATCAAGATAAATTGGCAACGAAACAATTAGGACCTCCCAGACCAAATTTAATAATTCAACAGGTTTCTACTAAAGGGGGAAAGTCCTACACCGAGGATTTTCCAAAAATTGGTATGAACGAAAAACCTGGCTTGCAGGCTGCGATGTAGCTAATGCAGTCTTCTGCTACCCCTGCTTACTCTTTCACCCTGAAGGCGGCACGGCAGACAGCACCGCTTGGACAGCGACTGGTGTAACGGACATGCACCATCTTTCAGAAAAGATTAAGAAACATGAGCTGTCAAAGACCCACATGGATAGCTGTTTGAGATTGTCTGCTTTGGGGAGAGTGAACATTGCCACTCAAATGGATGAGGGATACAGGCTAGCTGTCCGCCGCCACAACGATGAGGTTAGCAAGAACCGCCACATCCTCAGCCGGCTAATCCAGTGTGTGAAGTTTTGCGGAGTGTTTGAGTTAGCTCTGCGAGGCAAAGATGAAACTGAGGGCTCCACCAACCCTGGTATTTTTCTTGGACTTGTCAACTTTGTGGCACAATTAGATTAGGTGTTTTATGGAAATGCATATTGTTTATGCAGTGTTGAGGAATGTGAAAGAACACCCTTGATTATTTTTACTGTGATAACTTATTTTGCTTTTGTAAGCCAACACTTTTGAGATCAGTCAATAAATGCTTATGGTATTGACTTATATGCTGCCCCTGTCTTCATGTTGTTGCTGGACATATCTTTTTTTAAATGTGTGTAGGTCACCTAAATCATCAGAAAAATTGCCCCCCCTGAGAATTTTTTCAGGAGCCGCCACTGGCTGGGACCATAGTCACCAAGAAAACAATTGGTAACACACTATGGCGTGAAGGACTGAAATCCTGCAGCGCCCGCAAGGTCCCCCTGCTCAAGAAAGCACATATACAGGCCCGTCTGAAGTTTGCCAATGAACATCTGAATGATTCAGAGGAGAACTGGGTGAAAGTGTTGTGGTCAGATAAGACCAAAATCGAGCTCTTTGGCATCAACTCAACTCGCCGTGTTTGGAGGAGGAAGAATGCTGCCTATGACCCCAAGAACACCATCCCCACCGTCAAACATGGAGGTGTAAACATTATGCTTTGGGGGTATTTTTCTGCTAAGGGGACAGGACAACTTCACCGCATCAAAGGGACGATGGACGGGGCCATGTACCGTCAAATCTTGGGTGAGAACCTCCTTCCCTCAGCCAGGGCATTGAAAATGGGTCGTGGATGGGTATTCCAGCATGACAATGACCCAAAACACACGGCCAAGGCAACAAAGGAGTGGCTCAAGAAGAAGCACATTAAGGTCCTGGAGTGGCCTAGCCAGTCTCCAGACCTTAATCCCATAGAAAATCTGTGGAGGGAGCTGAAGGTTCGAGTTGCCAAACGTCAGCCTCAAAACCTTAATGACTTGGAGAAGATCTGCAAAGAGGAGTGGGACAAAATCCCTCCTGAGATGTGTGCATACCTGGTGCCCAACTACAAGAAACGTCTGACCTCTGTGATTGCCAACAAGGGTTTTGCCACCAAGTACTAAGTCATGTTTTGCAGAGGGGTCAAATACTTATTTCCCTCATTAAAATGCGTTTTTCTGGATTTTTTTGTTGTTATTCTGTCTCTCACTGTTCAAATAAACCTACCATTAAAATTATAGACTGATCATGTCTTTGTCAGTGGGCAAACGTACAAAATCAGCAGGGGATCAAATACTTTTTTCCCTCACTGTACATATCCTTAAAAAAAATAAAATAATCCCTTTATTACGTTCCAACCCCACCACCCCTTCCTTAATTGGAGTAAATTTGTGAACAACAATGCTTAGGCCTCTACTTCCAGCTTATACATACTATATACATTTTATGGACACTTTTACAATAATTCTATTTTGTTTGTTTTTACTCCTGAACTTCCTCTGCCCTCAACCTCTCCAATCATTTTTATGATATTCATCCAGTTTGCTTCTATATGCCATATCTTTCTAACTGTGCTCTTTCACAAAAGCTCTCAACCTATAACCTACAGTATATACTTATTATGGACACAGTATGCTTTACATTAGTTATCTTGTTGTTATTATTTGTTGTTAGTTGTTATTAGTCCCATCCTTCAACTCCATTCAACACCACCCATCTATCTCTTAACACCATCCATACTGGATTTCTATTTGCCATATATTTTTCAACTGTACTGTGATGTTTTACAAAAGTTCTGAACCCTTCTATTCTCATTGTTTCTACAGATTGTAAATTGCAATAAAAAATAATGATAAAAGTATTATTATGTTATTGATCGATTGACTATGACTTTTCAGATCACCCAGTAGTGCTATCTGCAGGGTTAGCTCCAGGTAAATATTGCAATCCTTTAGTCATTCCTGGACCTGTGTCCAAAAACAAGCTACAAATGGACAGTACCAAAACAAATGATTTAATGATTCTGTCTCTTCGCAGCAAAATCTGCAGAGCTGGGAAGATTGTATCCCCCATATAAATAACATTATATTGGTAGCAAGAATTTTATATAATAATTTAAATTGAAAAATTCTAAGTTTTGAATCCGGTGTCGTTTTGCGTATCAGTTCATAAACACTATGCCATGGAATCGGTACGTCAAAAATCTCTTCCCAACTTTTGCAATCTATATGGGACGGCTGTCAATCCTTTGGTCCTTAAATGAAACTGGTATACTTTTTTATTTATCACAATTTTCTTTAACCAATTATGTTCTTTAATGCAGGGCCGACAGACAAGTTCCTTACTTTTTCCCCTTTCCACTTTCCTCTTCCATTTTTGCGGTAATGCTGCAATTATTTGGTTGTAATTTTGGGTAGAGCAGACATTTCCATATGTTTTTGTTAGCTGCATGTGCGACATAACTTCATCAATGATATAATTTATGAAGATTATACCTTTTCTAAACATTTTTTCAAAAAATAATGGTTTTTTATCAATTCGTATATTTGAGTTTAACCACAATATTTGTTGCATTATTTGTTCTGTCGTTTCTGGAGGATTAAATTGAAATTGCAACCAACTTTCTATGGCTTGTTTTAGAAATAGTGATATTTGGGAGATTATTTCCTTTTCAAATAACTGAAAGTGAGGGGTTGTAATCTGAATAAAGGGAAAAAGGCCATTCTTGAACATTGGGTGAGACAATCTTACTAATTTGCTAGAGAACCAGTTCGGATTTAAGTATAACTTTTGTATGCCAGAAGCTTTCAGTGATAGGTCTAATGCTTTAATATTTAATAATTTCTGTCCTCCGAATTCATATTCATTATATAAATAGGCCCGTTAAATTTTTCTGGCTTGCCGTTCCAAATAAAATTGAACATTTTTTTCTCATATAATTGAGCTGTTGTTGCTCCTAGATGTTTCCACTTCACAATAACAGCACTTACAGTTGACCGGGGCAGCACTAGCAGGGCAGGAATGTGGTGCCACTGAGATTGCATGTCTGTGTGCTTGATTTTATACACCTGTAAGCAACGGGTATGGCTGAAATAGCTGAATCCACTAATTTGAAGGGTTGTCCACATACTTTTGTATATATAGTGTATTAGGTAATAATTAAGAGTAGGTAAGAATTACATCAAAAGTTTTACCATTGCAACATTAGATGTACAGTCACATTCACTGTGGTTGTCTGAAGCGTGCTATAGAGTTCAGAGCTGGTGATGCCTTATCGTGATTGGTTATTCCCCGTCAATTGCAACAATGTCAATGAGCGTCATACCTATCTTTCCGTTGTTTTACCTCAAACTGTCGTGATTACCAGCTGAGATAAACTTTTATGAGTTGATTTTATTCCTGGCTCAAAGTTTGTCTGGGCAGTGTCTTAACATCATCCTAAAACCTACTCTGAGCTGGGAGTTTTTTGTTGTTGTTGTCTTAAAACAGGTATTAACAGGATTGCTAGGACCTTTTCTGAGATGCTTTGTCGATACCGGCCCCGGATGGAATTATGTGATCCTTCCTTAACCCATTGGAATTCCAGCCTAGTTGACTACTTTAAAATGGTAAAAGTCCTCAGTGGCGCTGCCCATGCTAAAATGAGCTTTTGGGCACTAGTCCTCTATTTATTTATATGGTTTAAACCCTGAAGGTTGAAAATAATAAACGTTCCCTTCATAGATATCTGAATAAACTGGGAAAGGGCCCGGGGGCTCTATGGGTTGGAATACCACAAACCTTCAGGGATTGTTTGGGGAAAGTTTTTTAGGACAACCTCAGGACAATGTTAGGATAACCTCAGGACAACGTAAGGACAACCTCAGCTGAGTCTGAATGCAGCTCGGTGCAGGGATAACCCTGCAAGGCTTTGCTTTACTAAAATGAGGCTTCTCTTTTTCTTTGAAGACATTTATTTAAGACAGGGGGGTGGTTGTAGCAGGATATAAAGCAATATGAAGGAGAGGGAAACGGAAGAGAAAGAGAGGAAGAGAATATATAGGTGGAGAAAAACAGAGGAGAAAAAATATATATATATATTTTGTCTGTGTTGACATGACGCTTCACAGGCCAGCTTTTTGTGTCTCCAGTTTCAGGTTGTGTGTGTGTGTTATGGTGGGAATGGAGGAGAACCACACAACAGGAGCATAGAGAGAAATAGCTCTGCATCTCCTGGGGAAGGGGGAGATCATTTCTCCTCTCCCCCTCACCCACCCTGTCTCAAACCTTTACCATATTTCCCCCCTCTCCCTTTTCCTTCCTACCTCCCGCCACTTTCTCCATCTTTCTGTCTCTCTCTCTTTGCTCCCTCTCTCTCTCTTTACCTCTGTTCTACAGACACACACTGGTAGGAGAGACCAGTCTGTAGTCATTAGTTAGAGATGACCACTGTCTAAACAGCTCAGCAGTCTGTGGGTCAATACAGACTGATGGTCAGGTTAAAATGTGCTTTTCAAGTGGATTAATATAAATCTGTGTGTGTGTGTCCTTGGGTTCTTATTTCTTATTTAAGACCAATATTTACCCAGCAGCCCCAGGGTGAGATTACCTCATATCTTAGTCCAGCTGTGCTTTCTCAGCGTTACCACGACTACCACCGGAATGTCACTGTTTACCCTCCTACCAGGACAACAGAGAGCGAGAGAGACACAGAGAGAGAGAGAGAGAGAGAGAGAGAGAGAGAGAGAGAGAGAGAGAGAGAGAGAGAGAGAGAGAGAGAGAGAGAAGAGAGAGAGAGAGAGAGAGAGAGAGAGAGCGTCTGTGAGAGAGAGAGGTGTGGGGCAGGTCGGGGGAAAGGGGTTAGAGATTAAGGAGAACCACTCAACTCTGAGTGCTGACATAAATGCACCTGAACACACACACACACACACACAGTGTTGAATAAAGTACCAAATTGTCATACTTGAGTAAAAATTGTCATACTTGTCATACTTCATAGAAAATGACTCAAGTAAAAGTGAAAGTCACCCAATAAAATATTACTTGAGTAAAAGTCTAAAAGTATTTGGTTTTAAAATATACTTAAGTATCAAAAGTAAATGAAATTGCTAAAATATACTTAAGTATTAAAAGTAAAAGTAAAAGTATAAATAATTTCAAATTCCTTATATTAAGCAAACCAGACGACACCATTTTCTTGTTTTTTTTTAATTTATGGATAGCCAGGGGCACACTCCAATACTCAGACATAATTTACAAACAAAGAATTTGTGTTTAGTGAGTCAGCCAGATCAGAGGCAGTAGGGATGACCAGGGATGTTCTCTTGATAAGTGCGTGAATTGGACAATTTTCCTGGCCTGACAAGCATTCAAAATGTAACGAGTACTTCTGGGTGTCAGGGAAAATGTATGGAGTAAAAAGTACATTATTTTCTTTAGGAATGTAGTGAAGTAAAAGTAAAAGTTGTCAAAAATATAAATAGTAAAGTAAAGTACAGATACCCCCAAAAATGACTTAAGTAGTACTTAAAATTATTTTTACTTAAGTAATTTACACCACTGCACACTGTTGTACTGTTGCTCCCCCAGACTCAGACTGTATGTCTTGTCTCTGTAAGTTGTATGGATGATGTTGCTTCTTTAGTATGAAGTGTTGTTGTGAAGAGGGTTGTGAGTTTGCACCCCAGGTCATAATGAAATTTCCCACAGTATTTCAGTGTGAATAAGGTCCATTCCCGAGGACCCCTAGTTAAACCCTGGCCTTTTCTCTTTCTCTCCTCTCCTTCTGTACTTCTCTCCTCCTTTCCTGTCTTACTCTGGCCTCTCCTCTCCTCCTATTCTACCTATTTCCTCCTCTCCCTCTTTCCTCCACTCCTCTCTTCCTCTCATTCTCTCCTTCTCTCCACCTCTTCTCCTCTCCTCCTGTCCTCCTCTTCTCTGGCTTCCCATCCAGGCCCATACTGCTGTGTGGACACTGTCCTCCTACCATGGGAACCAGCAGCTATTTACACTAATTTGCAATAGAATGCCTTGTGGAGGATAGCGACAGTTGGGAATGTACTATTTGGTGTCTTTCTCTCTCTGGCCTGTGTAAGTGGTAGAAGTGTCATTATTTAGCCTATGAAGCGAAGGAAAGAGAGGAGAGCAAACAGGACTGAATGACCCTCTGGTTGGACCGGCTCTCTTCTTCAATACCTCATTAAAGCTTGAAGCGTTCAGACGAACAACACATCAATTGGTGGGCCCGACCTTAGGCTACTACTCTCCTATCCTACCCAGCTCAGTTCACTTCCATGGAGATCAGCTCAAAGTTAACTTCTGAAATCGACTCTGTTTAGAAGTATAAGGACATGAAAGGCGTGGCGCTGAGGGAGAGGAGAGAAGGGATTTATTAAAACAGCAGGACAGATGACGGTTTGTCGGTTGGACTCGAGCCAAAGAGGAACTCGGAACTCACCCATTCGCAACCTGACAGGATTTGGAAACCTCAGGTGGGAAGTGGACTAGACAGCTATTCAAAAATCATAACAAGAACATTAAACAAGATTGGTGTGACTTTCATCCAATATTTGGCTAAAAGATGTGGATTTTACTACACTTTTAAATTAAACTCATGACCCTTTGGCCCCAACTGCCTTCATAGGATTTGAAAATCAGGAATAACGGTAGGAAAATTGATGTCTTCCACCACAACCAAGGCAGGCGACTGTGTCCAGTTATCATCAGGCTTAAAGTGAATGGTGTTGGAGCATTCAACTTCATGGAGCCAGACCCTAATCTAGTCACGGCTCAGATGATAGATTATTGTGCTTGACTGATTTCCTAAAGTAACAGGACTATATATTCATTAAATTAACTCTCCCTCCAGACAGTGAGGCTGCTGAAGCCTTGAAGACTCATCAGTAGGTGTGTGGGAGGTGAGTGTGTGTGTGTGTGTGTGTGTGTGTGTGTGTGTGTGTGTGTTTGTGTGTTTGTGTGTGTTTGTGTGTTATAAATGGAGAGGCAGGGCCGTGTTGGGGACTCGGCACTGTATGACTTTGTCAGTGATATAGACCTCATAGAGATTCACCCAAAGTCCACTTCGGGTTCAAAACAGCTCATGGAAAGCTTTCTCCCAGCCACTGGCTACCGGGGCCGGTACTACGACCTCTCCTATGTTAACGGGAGCCACCGGGAGACAGGTACAAGCGAGGGGGAACAAACCGGACACGGATATCACCTGCATGAGATGGCCACAGGGAGCACATCTGCCCTCACCTACAGCCCAGGCTCTTTCTCACACACACACACCTCTCAGACACACACCTCAGACACACACACCGGGCGGTCGAAGCGGAGGCGTGTGATCAACGTGGGCCAGCGTCAGGCGGCGAACGTCCGGGAGAGGAAGAGGATGTTCAGTCTGAACGAGGCATTTGACGAGCTGCGGAGGAAAGTGCCGACCTTTGCCTACGAGAAGAGGCTGTCACGCATTGAGACACTCCGCCTCGCCATCGTTTACATCTCCTTCATGACAGACCTGTTAGAGAACACCTGACCTGATCAGGATCACATAGATCCATCAGGGTTATCAGAGCCAGGTCGATTAATCAGACTGGTTAGTTTGATTGATGCTTCACCTCGCCATTGTCTACATCTCCTTCATGACGGACCTGTCAGAGAACACCTGACCTGATCTATCAGTGTGATCAGAACCAGATTGATTGATTAATTGGTTAATTGATCAGATATTCAGTTAATGGCGGACCTATACTGGTAAACAGCTGATCAGGATCTATCTGAGTGATCAGATATCAGATTGATTATACTGATTATATCATATGTATTTATGGAATATCAAGTTTTAGAATCGGGCTATGGTTGTTAACATATATACATTTAATATCAAGTAGCTATTTAAACTGTTTTTATAGTGTTGTAGAAATGTGTTATTAACATTATTCTGAAAATAATAATTATCCTACAAACACTTGGGCTCAGCTTAGTTTTTATTCATCTCAAGTGAAATGATATGTGCCTGAGCAAGAAAAACAACACTTGTTTTGTTTTAATAGGTAGAACTGGGTTGATTTTCATGGATTTAATTATAATGGGAAATCAAAGAGATTAGAAAACTTAATTTATGTTATTAAAAAATATGTGGGTTAGGGGAGGGAACGACAGGATCCAACCCAATGGAGTTAGTCTATTCATAATAAGGGGATCCAGATAGGGACAGATTTACTTATCATGTTTATGTATCTATCGAGGTGCTTATTGTATGAGAGGGTTTCAGGGTAGAGATAAAAATGTAGGGGTAGGAGGGTGATTAGAGAGATTTACTCAGAGGAGGCTGGTGGGAGGAGCTATAGGAGGACAGGCTCATTGTAATGGTTGGCATGGAATCAATGGAACGGTATCAAACACATCAAACATTTGGAAACCACATGTTTGACTCCGTTCCATTAATTCCATTCCAGCCATTACAATGAGCACATCCTCCTATAGCTCCTCCCACCAGCCTCCTCTGGATTTACCACTTAGGGAAAAGCTACCTCGTCAGCCCCCACTGTGTGTGTTTGTGTGTGTGGAATGCCCGGGTCAGCAACTTAGCCCTCCCTCCTCCTTTTATAGGAGAGAGTACGCCACCTAACGGCCAATACAGTCCCTTTAGCAAGTATCACACCCCTTGACTTTTTCCACATTTTGTTGTGTTACAGCGTGAATTTAAAATAGATGGCCTACACACAACACCCCATAATGTCAAAGTGGAGTTATGTTTTTTCAAAATATTTACAAATTAATAAAAAATGAAAAGCTGAAATGTCTTGAGTCAATAAGTATTCAACCCCTTTGTTATGGCAAGCGTAAATAAGTTCATATGTGTTTACCAAACACATACAATTATCTGTAAGGTCCCTCAGTCGAGCAGTGAATTTCAAACACCGATTCTACCACAAAGACCAGGGAGGTTATGGGTATGCTTGTAATCGTTAAGAACTGGGGAGTTTTCCAGGATAAAAAAGAAATGGGATGGAGCTAATCACAGGCAAAATCCTAGTGGAAAAATTCAGTCTGCTTTCCAACAGACACTGGGAGATGAATTCCCCTGTCAGCAGGACAATAACCTAAAACCCAAGGCCAAATCTACACTGGAGTTGCATACCAAGAAGACAGTGAATGTTCCTGAGTGGCCGAGTTACAGTTTTGACTTAAATCTACTTGAAAATCTATGGCAAGACCTGAAAATGGTTGTCTAGCAATAATCAACAACACATTTTGCAGAGCTTGAAGCATTTTCCAAAGAATAATGGGCAAATGTTGCACATCTTAGCGACTTACCCAGAAAGACTCCTGTAATCGCTGCCAAAGGTGCTTCTGCAAAGTATTGACTCAGGGATGTGAATATTTATGTAAATGAGAAATTTCTGTATTTCATTTTCAATAAATGTAAAAAAAAATTACAAAACATGTTTTCACTTTGTCATTATGGGGTAGTACGTGTAGATGGGTGCGATAACAAAAAAAAAAAAAAAAAAAAAAATCAATTTTGAACTCAGGCTGTAACACAACAAAATGTGGAATAAGTCAAGGGGTATGAATACTTGAAGGCACTGTATAGGCCTAATGCCAATGCACATTTATTATTGAAGGCCTTTCATTAAAACCAAGTTTATGTGTCTATTCAGGATTCCAAACTCCAGGTTTCTGTGATTGTCACAAATTGCTCATTTGCATAATTATTAAAGGACATGAATGTTTTCTCATTTTCCATTACAAAACAAAACTATACTATTCATTCATGATCCATTTGTGGGGTTTATTGCGTAATTTATTAATGTGGGTGGTCTTATGACGAAATCTGAGTAGAGTGGTGCGCTCTCTGCGCCTTTCCCCTCCACGCACCTCCAATGTTTGCATTGCGCTCCTGCCGTCCACCGCATCAGCGACCTGCTGTGAGCTTGGATCCGCCATGTGAGCTCCCTTGGCCGGCTTAATTCTTTACCTGATCCGCTCTGCCGGGGTCCCAGAGGGGGGGCAGAATCACTTAGCCGCATACCTTAGAACAAAGCAAAATAAACAGCCAAACTTAGGCTATGGAAAAACTGCTGTTTACCCTCCTCTGTTCCGATAGAAATGGCTGATATTCTCCCTGGCTTGTCTTTTAGGACAGTTGTGCAGAATAGGTAATATCCCAGCTAGCACATTTGGTTCCTTGGAAGTTGTGGGAACATAAGTGTTTGGTTTCTCATTGGTTCTGGGAACAAAGCCATACGTTTCCTGACCAGTGAATCTGAACCTTTTTTAAACGTTCTGAGAACGAAAGTGAAAATTTCACCTGTTCTGGGAATTTTTAGGTTGCAGGGAGGTTCTGATTCCCTGAAAGTTCTCCTGGAAGGTTTTATTAACTTTCTGAGAATGGAAATTATAGGTTATTTGAAAGTAATTAAATAACATTCTGAGAACATGTTTAAATAAGACTTTTAATAACACTGCTAGCTTAGGTTAACTTCTTTGAACTCCAATCACAGATAGGACACATGGAAATTAATTTGCTTAGGCATTAATCATACAAACACGTTTATTGTGGCACGCGTCAGTGAGAATCGAACCAATGATCTCCTGTTCTCTATCCATGGAATTAGTCCACTGTGCCACAAAGCTGCTCATTTTAGTCTATTCAAACAGACCCCATTTCAAAGGAAACAAGCACTCATTAAGATTCAGGGCCTTTATCCACAAAGCATCTCAGAAAAGGTCCTAGGAATCCTGTTAAAAACTGTTTAAGACTAAAAACACTCCCAGCTCAGAGTATTTTTTAGGATGATGTTAAGACACTTCTCTTCCGTTTCCCTCTCCTTCATATTGCTTTATATCCTGCTACAGCCACCCCCCTGTCTTAAATAAAAGTCTTCAAAGAAAAAGAGAAGCCTCATTTTAGTAAAGCAAAGCCTTGCAGGGTTATCCCTGCACCAAGCTGCATTCAGACTCAGCTGAGGTTGTCCTTACGTTGTCCTGAGGTTATCCTAACATTGTCCTGAGGTTGTCCTAAAAAACTTTCCCCAAACAATCCCTGAAGGTTTGTGGTATTCCAACCCGTAGAGCCCCCGGGCCCTTTCCTAGTTTATTCAGATATCTATGAAGGGAACGTTTAATATTTTCAACCTTCAGGGTTTAAACCATAGAAATAGATAGAGGACTCTAGTGCCCAAAAGCTCATTTTAGCATGGGCAGCGCCACTGAGGACTTTCACCATTTTGAAGTAGTCAACTAGGTGGGAAATCCTATGGGTTAAGGAAGGATCACATAATTCAAACCTGGGCCCGTATCCACAAAGCATCTCAGAAAAGGTCCTAGGAATCCTGTTAAAACCTGTTTTAAGACAACAACAAACAAACAAATCCCAGCTCAGAGTAGGTTTTGGGATGATGTTAAGACACTGCCCAGACAAACTATGAGCCAGGAATAAAATCAACTCATAAAAGTTTATCTCAGTTGGTTATCACGGCAGTTTGAGGTAAAACAATGGAACGATAGGGATGACGCTCATTGACATTGTTGCAAATGATGGTGAATAACCAATCCCGATAAGGCATCACCAGCTGTGAACTCTATAGCACGCTTCAGACAACCACAGTGAATGTGACTGTACATCTAATGTTGCAATGGTAAAACGTTTGATATAATTTTCGCCAGACACGATCACTTTCCCTACTCTTAATTATTACCTACTATGTTTGCATGCATAACCTCTTTTTAACCTATTCTGATGGTTGTTACAAGTGGAATTTGGACAATATTACCGTTATATCAACACACTCGTCACTCCCGTTTAACAACTCTAAATCGCTTTGGCACAGTAGGCGATAATGTTGCATACAGCGTTTGAAAGGTCTATCATTTTCATCAAACCCAATCAAAGTTAACAGAAGCCCTAGATGCCTTCATTTGCCAAACTTATAGGCATGAGGTGTCCTAAATATCTGTAGACTAGGTGGGACTCTTATGACTAAAGAGGCTTCATGCATAGTTGTTTTATTTTTACCCATAAGATTAGGAGTAAAATGTCTCTATTCTCAGCACTTAAGACCAATTTTCTACTCTGAGTCGCTTTGTGGATACGGGCCCAGGTCACCAGGAGAGATCAGTCAATGAATTACTCGTGAGGAAATATTCCATGACTGCAGGTAGCAGTAATTCGCCAACCTTGGCTTTATACCTGTGCAAACAACACACTATGTGGCAGTGTGCACCCTTTCAGTTTGTTTAAAATAGTCAAAAAATAAAATTGGAGACGGCCTCAATACAGTACCACAGTATGAGTCATAATACCCATCAAACCTAGCGGTCAAATGGTTCCAATAGTTTTTCCACCATTCATTTTTCCCATAGGGGATTTTAGGCTTACCCTGGAGTGATGTTTTGATAACCGTGCAAATCGCTCTAGGACAAGGTGACTTTTATCAATATATTTTCCCTTTATTTACCCCTCAAAATGAAATACTAATTAGCTGCTAATGTGGGTATCATAAAGAACTACAAATGCCATGATGATCTGGGCGAGACTGCCGAATTGAGGCAAAGGTAAGAATCTCTGGATTAACTATCTAATGTTAGCTGAATGTAGCGATGAATAAATTGGCTACATTTCTTTAAATGGACAATTCTGTGAACTGTCTTGTGCAAGTTTTAAATTGACACAATACCTGTTAGCAAAGGTGTCAGCTAGAGATTACGTGCAGGAGCTTGTAGGGATTTGTAGTTTTGCATGATGCCTACTTTGATGCTAATTAGCATTTTCGAATCTGAGAGTAAATAGAGCCAAATATATTGATTAAATTCACCTTGTCCAAGAGAGACTTCCATGGTTATCAAAACGTCACACCAGTGTAAGCCTACATGAAACACAGCCCATATTTTAAGTGTTTCTAAAATCCCCAATGGGAAAAAGGAATGGTGGAAAAACGATTGGAAACACACACACACATATTTGGGACCTGTGAAGTAAAAGGATAGGTGACATGCTGAGTTTGGCCTACCTTCCTGGAGCTGGCAGCAGAGCCTGGGATTATATTCATCTCCACCCCTGCCTGCTGTGTGACCCTGCTGGGGCCCTGCCCACCTGGAAAGAGGTAGGCATCCTCACTCTATTAATTCAATTAAATTCAAAGGGCTTTATTGGCATGGGGAAAATATATTTACATTGCCAAAACAAGTGAAATAGATAATAAACAAAAGTGAAATAAACAACAAAAAATGAACATTAACCATTACACTCACAAAAGTTCCAAAGGAATAGAGACATTTCAAATGTCAAATTATGGCTATATACAGTGTTGTAACGATGTGCAAATAGTTAAAGTACAAAAGGGAAAATAAATCAATGGTGTTTGTTCTTCACTGGTTGCCTTTTTCTTGTGGCAACAGGTCACAAATCTTGCTGCTGTGATGGCACACTGTGATATTTCACCCAATAGATATGGGAGTTGATCAAAATTGGATTTGTTTTCAAATCCTTTGTGGGTCTGGGTAATCTGAGGGAAACATGTGTCTCTAAAATGGTCATACATTTGGCAGGAGGTTAGGAAGTGCAGCTCAGTTTCCATCTCATTTTGTGGGAAGTGTGCACATAGCCTGTCTTCTCTTGAGAGCCAGGTTGGCATACGGCAGCCTCTCTCAATAGCAAGGCAATGCTCACTGAGTCTGTACATAGTCAAAGCTTTTCTTAATTGTGGGTCAGTCACAATGGACAGGTATTCTTCCACGGTGTACTCTGTTTAGGGCCAAATAGCATTCTAGTTTACTCTGTTTTTTGTTAATTCTTTCCAGTGTGTCAAGTAATTTTATTTTTGTTTTCTCATGATTTGGTTGGGTCTAATTCTGTTGCTGTCCTGGGGCTCTGTGGGGTCTGTTTGTTTGTGAACAGAGCCCAAGGACCAGCTTGCTTAAGGGACTCTTCTCCAGGTTCATCTCTCTGTAGGTGATGACTTTGTTACGGAAGGTTTGGGAATCGCTTCCTTTTAGGTGGTTGTAGAATTTAACAGCTCTTTTCTAGATTTTGATAATTAGCGGGTATCGGCCTAATTCTTCTCTGCATGCATTATTTTATGTTTTACGTTGTACTCTGAGGATATTTTTGCAGAATTCTGCATGCAGAGTCACAATTTGGTGTTTGTCCCATTTTGTGAATTCTTGGTTGGCTCTGTATCTCTCTCCTCTTTCCAGGCTTCCCTTTCACTCTCTTTATTCGCCTCTACCTACTTCTGTCTACAGTTCTCCCTCACTTCCCTTCTTTCTTCCTTCCTCCCTTCCTCCTCCCTCTTTCTATCTCTCTCTCTCCATCCCTCCCTAGTGTCAGCATAGAAAGGTGTAAGGTACAGCCAATGTTACCATTGGGACCCTGAATAATGCATCTATGTGGTAACTGATCAGTCACTGGTCAATCATGTGACTCTCTCTCTCTCTCTGTCTCTGCAGGTTAGATGGCTAGTTGTCAACAGAGGAGGCTGGTATGGAAACCAGGTGTGGTTTCCATATGTTTGATACCTTTACATTTATTCCATTCCAGCCATTACAATGAGCCCATCCTCCTATAGCTCCCACCTGCCTACTCTGGTTGTCAATCATGCACTTGATAGTTATTTGCAACTTTAATTGATTTGATGTTGAGAGAGAGATAGGCTATGCTACATTTTCATAGGTAGCTGTCTGTATGCAGTCCATCAAACAATGTGGTGGGGCCGGCTATCTGCACAACAGTAGCAAACAATCTAAGATAACTTTCCCACTGAATACAACATGCAATCATAAATGTTGATTGATTATGTGTTTCAGAGAAAGTATTTGGCTCAGTCGCAGTTGTAAAAGTAGTAGATGAGAATGTTTGTAGAATTAAACAACAGCCAGTCACGGGTGTGTTGCTTGCATCATAACAGTTTTCAGCCAATCAGAGAGCGACGTCGAGAAAAGGGGTG